AACTCATCCTCGATAGATGAACTGATCACACTGCATAGGTTGCGCTGGCTTGGCCACGTGCTGCGTATGGCAGTCGACCGACTTCCTCGAGGGGCTCTGTTCGCACAACCACGTGAAGGGTGGAAGAGAGCCAGAGGCGGTCAAACAATGACTTGGCAGTGAAGTATGGAAGTCATTACCAGCAAACGCAGCTGCGCTGGTCACTGCCGTCTTCCTGGATGGGGACCCCGAGACGGGCCACATCAATGGCTAGAGTTAGATATGGCCCAGTTGCGCCCTCAATCTCGCTCGTGCAATCAAGCTATTGCCTTCATTGCATAGCTCCTTTTCCAACCCCCCCCAATTGAGAGCCCACTGACAGTGCTGGATTAATGCACCAATTTACCAGCTCGCGCGTGCAATGCGCAGCTACTTACCCCCCAATCATCGGTGAACGAAACTGTGGCAGCTACAACCAGTGTACGACCAGTACGCGGTTATTACAGCTGATAATGATGATGATGATGATTCTGATGTGTAGTTACCCGAGAATTCGCTAATAAAGTTTGCACTTCTGTATCTAATCGTTCTTATTCACGATACCAGTGACCTTATCCTTTTTTGTTTAAAGACATCTGACTCCTCTATCCTGCAGTTTTTGTACCGATTAGCTGTGGGGACTTGAGGACTGTGCTCAACTTCATCCGTGACCCTTGATTTCTTATTAAAGCCACCTGTAATCTTCACTCGGTTCCAAAGACGTTTCCAAAGGTGTGTTAGCTCTTGAGCAGTTGACTGACTGTTTAAAGACCTAATGAATCCTCAGCTGGGTACAGCAGCAGTGTCTTAGGCTCGTAAAGCTGATCTTTGCTGCTTGACCAGTCAGTGCTTGTTTTGGATACGCCTAATGTCATTGGAATGTCTCCAACTATCTTTGCGTACCGCGTATACCACACCGTTGTGAGCCGATAGCCAACAAGCTCATGAGACGAAATCCGCGCTGATGATTTGCTCAGCGTTCACTAGCTCGCATGACTGCAACAGTTTGAGCAAGGACAATACTAGAATGGGTCCTCCTTTCAATGATTTTTCCCGTTGAATCACCGCTATCGGTTTAATTTCCTCCCAGATGGAGTCATCTTGGAGTCAACCTGGTTAGTCCCGCTCTCTGGTCGTGGTCTTTTTCAAATCCGCATCATATTCACAATACTTGCTGTCACTGTTGGGGGCGAGGTGGCTCATGTGGTTAGAGCACGAATTTGCTGACTGTGGTTCGAACGCGACTTCTACCTCTCGATATCCCCTGTCTAGGCTTGGGCAACCTGGTAGTATCCCAGCCCTCGTGCTTCCTTCGGGTGACATGGCAGTTAGGCACCGAAAGGGTGTTACCGCTGAGCCGTCAGTGCCCTAGACAGGACTAATACCTTCGAACGCAGTTTTTCTTTCAAGCTCCCAGCTACCAAGACTGGTTAGAATGGACGATTCCGTTTCGGGGTGTGCAGTTTTATCTGTCTGTATTCTGTGTGATGGCTTCGAATAAACAAGCGGAGCCTAGCGAATATACACTCATTTGCAAACTAATTGGTTTCTCGAGAGACTCACCTGGAACCCAGCTGAATCTCTCGTTTATGATGTTTCCAGGCAACTGAATGTGCTGCACCAGGCCGCCTCATATTTCAGTCCCCACGATATTTGAAATATCGTGATACATGTATATCTTTGTAATTTACTCATAAGGTTGCTGAGGTTGCTGTGACGGATTTTCAGCAACCTTATGAGTAGTACATTACAAGCGGAGCCTAGTTCGGTCGAGGGATCTTATTCACAGGGAAGAAGTTTCAAGATAGCCCACCATTTACGAGTTTCAGGCACAGGTATGTACTCATTCGAGGAAGAGAAACATCTCTGTGTTTAACGCACGTCAGAACGATGACGATGACGTTACCACGGCTTGAACTAAAGGTTGCCGGCCTTTAACCAGTCTATCGCTACATTATCGAAAGGTGTACGAAGCTGTTCAACTTGTTTTTACATGGACTCACTTGTTTCTCTGTTTCTTCTCTTGTGGAACGCAGCAGACGTCGTATTTTTCCAAAATGAAGCCTTGTGTGTGCGGGAAAACGTTAGCGGCTTCCGTCCAACCTCGATGTCCACAAACTGTTCGATCAATTTACTCTACTCAACCGTTTTCGCCACCCGGGCCTGCTGAAGCTTATTCTGGACAGCTTTTCGGAAAACCAACAAACCAGGATCCCATCGGACCTACTCTGATGAGTCATTTTCCACCAGCTTCACCTTACTCTACAATGTGAGTTGATACTATTGCCGATGTCTGGACTACTCGTGGCGCTTTTCTCACCTGATTGTTTTTCTTATATTTCACTCTGAACACGATTCTGTCGCTGTTTATAATTCATGACTCCTATGTGCGCAATGGGCAGTCAGCCACGCATGTTACCAACTCGTTTTTCTGAATGTCGCATTTTTATCCTATAGACAATCGGTTGTACCTCCGCCCATGTCATCATCTGGTGCACCGCTATTTGGTGGATCTTCGGGACCGACTCCTCCGTTACCACCGGTTATCCCACCATCGCCCCCACAACCCTTCCCTTCGTGGTCCCAACGTCCAGTTATGCCAGCCAGCATGCCTCTGAGACCTGTGACTCCCTCACCCACAGTCGGGTCGGTACGTGGACCCTTACCGCCACAGCAACAGCAACAACCCATTGCCGGTGTTGCTCCACCTCCAACGGAAACTAGTCGTGCTTGGAATGACCCCCCTTGGTTGGCGCAAGCATACCAGGTGGGTTGCTTTTTCTTGCAGGTTTCTTCCTTGTTGATTCTTTTCGACAGCGACACTCATGCTGAATATGTGGGAAACGTTTGGGGTGACGACTATCCATCCTTTTTGGAAAACAGATAGGGTCCTTTGTCGTATCAAGAATTGTCTAAATGCGATTAGTTATGGGTGCGGTCAACACTGATTTCAGCTGTTGTCATATCTTCTCCCCAGTTACTATTCTACGTAGAGTGTGTCAACTTAATCATTGGTCTGTTTGTCCGAAATTTCCTTCTCGTCCCACCAAAACTTTCGAAGACCCCGCTTCGTGGTGTTCATACGACAAGTGCTCATTTTGTACATTTCGAAGCTGATTCTCATTCCCCACATATCTTTGGAACGATATCGAAGATTTGTGGTTGTAGTGGATTGCAAGGGCCTAGGATGCCGGACTGAAATGTATCAGGTAGCCTGTACCTCGAACCAGTGGTTGTATCTCAAATTTTGGCTACGTACTAGGATTGGAGTGTTAACCAACTACACAGTCTACGTTTTTTATTGTGTCTACTTGCTACTAGCCAGTAGCTAAACGATTCATCGGTTTATAATGGAGTTCGCAAGCAGATTTTCAATCGCAAGCCACTTTCCCGTTAGAGATGCTTGTTAGTGGTTGTACGACCCATTATTTTCTATATCTGGTTTGAAATGACGTGAGCATGGCATTCGCCCTTTTTAAATTTGGATTTAGTGGGAGATTTGTTCCCGTGACAATCGCTTGTGTTCCATTCGCTGAACTCGCAAACAGTACGCTTCGTTTGCCCTTTTCATTATAGCTGCGATTCCTGGAATTGCAAAGTCATATGTCAAATAGTACCTCAGATGAACCTGTCGTGAGTGTTTATTTTCATACACTGTCATGTTCCACGGATGATTGACGCAACACTGCAGCCTTTCGTAGTATGATGGATGTTTTTATTACTGGCTGCTAGCCGCATGTTCAGTTTTCTTGGCGCTTCATGTACACCATTCAACAGTACATGTCGGAGAATCTTTCCGCATTTTGCCATTTCACTGGTTTCCCTCTCTGCCATCATATGTGATTGTTAGCATCACTAGTTTTGTAGCATAACCAACTCGTAACGTGATTGGTTCGTTCATTTTTTTCGTAGGTTGACTGGCGTCTACTCACCATCTGAATTCGGCATCGTAGTATGTTCACGTGCACTGTCGGCTCACTTTTCTGAATGGGCTGGGGACTAATCATGCCGCCTTATCGGATGGTGAAATAACGGCCTTATTAGTAACCATGCCTAGTTTCTGCTTGTTCAGACACTTCGTGCCATTAACCAGTGAAAGTCTAAAGCGTTTTAGCCTGGGTTTGGTAGGAACCCCAACTTCATCTACGCATTTCGGTGAACGCATGCTTGATATCGTTTTCTTGACATCTTGTGCCTGCACGTGAGGATTTACGTAACGAGCCTTCTCCATTCATCTACTTTCCGGTTTACTGCACTTGTAGCCTCCAGTACGACCAGCTGTGACTACCAATCAGTTCTACGACCCCACTGAGTTCACTGGTCAACTCGCATCACCCCCGGTCCCCCCATCTTTTGGTTTGAGTAATCCGCCCAACTCCCAGGTACTGGCTCCTCCATTGGCTTCGTTCCCCACGTCGACACATTCTTCAGTACCATCAATTCAGCCGTCGGCTAATGTACCAAATGTGACCCCGCCCACAGCCCCATTGCCACCTTTGCCTCCGATGACATCAGGGTATCTGCAGCCCTCGTCATCCCCCATGTTCCCGGCGATAACTCAGTCTCATATTCCGGCAACGCAGCTGTCCGTCGGTGGCCCACCTCTCGGACCTCAGATCTTCCCACCTACGCCTGTGGTGCCGGATCTGCCCGCTCGCCCAACGCCGTTTCGTATAGACGACCGTTTCGGCGGTGAGGCCGGAAGTTTCCGATCGGCTTCGCCAGTAACGTCGTCGACGATGTTTCGGTCTGCTTATCCTCGACTGGGTACGGACCAATGGCCTGCAGCTCAACCTTTGGGGACCAGTAATTCACCAGCATCAGCACCGTTGCCGGTGGTTGATGGTGTGTTGTCGGAGTCGTCTGTAACTGTCCAAAACGGGGCCGTCGAACCATCTTCCCACGATCAGACGACCCCAATGAATCCCGAATTCGCAGCGATGGAAGAGACTCTGACCAAGTTGGTCCAGCTTTGCCGCACTGTTGGAGGAAAAGTAAGCATGTTAGACTCAGAACAGTTTCGATTCTATCTCACAGCAGTGCATTGCCCATAATATGTTCTGAGTGGTAGAACGTTTTTCAAAGAAATCATAGACTTGGCCAGAGCCATTAGGTTGGTTTTGATCTCCAAAGCGATGGCATGGTTTTATGGATGGTTCAGTGTAGTCCGGTGTTTTCCATGATCTCAATAGGTTATAACTGAAAGAAAACAGGAAAGATACAATATAATAGTATAATATAAAGTGATTGTGTATCGGATTCCCTCAGGTGCATAGCCGTCATTGGGTCTTCTCCCTCCCTAAACTTCACTCATATCACCTAAGAGAGGCTGCCTATCATCATCATCATCGCTTGGCTATCGTACAACAAAGATTTACTCGAAAGCCTTATTTTGAAGGAAGGAATAACAGTGGACGGGGAGGAGACTTAGTGCTAGCCTTACGCAACCATTCCGAGATATCTGAACCTCCAGTCACTTATAAATAATAAAATAAATCGTTCAGCTGTAACACCCTTTCGGTGCCTAGCTGCCATGCAACCCGAAGAAGGCACGAGGGCTGAGATACTGCCAGGTTGCCCAGCCTAGACAGGGGAAGTCGAGAGGCAGAGGTCGGGCTCGAACCACGGACCTTCCGGTTAGTAAATTCACGCTCTACCCACTTGAGCCATCTCGCCCCTCCAGACACGTATCCAGGAAATCTGAATAGAAACTGACAACAAAAACGCCACTGACATCAATTAGCAACCAGATCTTGCAGCGTCTCAAGCGCCCCACCTGATAAGCCTCGAGAAGGCGAAAGTGGTGGTGGGCTGTCCAAGAGTTTTACGCAACAAAATCCGCAGCTCTATTGCTGGACAATATTTTGCTTTAGACGTCAAACTTTCTGAGGCCAAGCAAGTTGTCGGAATGGGGTTATGTGAGATCTTCTGGTTGGTTGTTTACACCGGGACCACTTTTGTTAATGACTGCTGTTGATTGATAACTGCACACTGCCGCGTGTTAACTCGGTCTACCTAAGGCTGCTTTCCAGCTGTATACATCCTACTCCTGTGACCCTGAAATTTCAGGTGATTTCCACCACACTGACCATCGAATATCTCGCCGTCGCCGAGTCTTTGACCATCTCTTCTAATACTCTTTTTTGGGCCTTGATAGCGGGCTTGACACCGTTCCCAAGGGTTGCCTAATCCGACTCACCGTCCACTCACTTTCCCTTTCCTTGAAATCTGTTTTTGGCCTCAGTTTGGACTGCTATTCGGCCTTCTTTCCACTGCGCTCTGGGCTGGCGGATTTAGTACGGACCAATGAATGTTCCAAGACTTGTGTCTGTTGGTTTCTCGTGAACGGTAGTTTTTTTTAATTCGCGTCACACAGGAAAGCAAACGTATTTTGACCGCAAAACTTTATGTGGAGATTCAAACTATTGGGATATTCGCAGAAACAATCAAACTTGTCGCTCTTTCTTCCACCACAACGTGTTATATACATAACCCCAAAAAAACCAAGTGGGCAGACTTATCTGGCCAAAGCCTTCCTCCAAAACCGGTGGTATTGGAGATATCATTTTAATGGGGGTTTCATCCTGAATCCAGTTTGTGTCGTGGCCAGCGTATCAGCATAGGTTCTCGCCACTCATCAGACGAATTCTCTAGTAAAAACTCCAAAATCACTTCGCACTACCAGCATGTTATAAGTACCTCAGAAGAAGAGTGAAATTCACGCAATGAGTGAAACTTTCGCCTGGTAATCGTGTCCTGAGGTTGCGTCGCATAGTAAACTGACATATTAATAATCCGTTCCATACGTACTACATGGAGTTTAGCTGAATAATCCCATTAGGCGATGGAAGGCATTAGACCCCGAACCGCACATTTAGCGCTAATGGATACAGCGAAATATCAGCTTTTCAATCTGTTGAACACTGACAAGGGAATGAACTTCAATACAAGAGCTCTGTCACTGTAAGTAGTGTACTTGAATAGCAAAGTATTGCCCACCTATGCTTTCGTTTCTCTCTTTTACTTCCTCTCTAGCCGTTCGCGTCTAAAATGGACACCGTAGATCGCAGAATCGCGAGCTTGTTTGCTTCCCTTCGTAGTTCAAGCGGAGCCATTCCTTTTAGTGAAGTTGTGCTTCAGCACCTGCGTGAATGCGTGAACGCGGCCGCCCAATCGGACTACGTAACCGCTGTGGAGCACGCCAATCTATTGATCCAATCCGCCTCGGGCTTCGAGTCCATCCATAGCTTCGCCCCTGGCCTGAAGATCCTCATGCAGTCTGCCCGACAACTCTTTCCGACGAATCGCCCGCACGGAGCTGGCGAACAGTGGTCCATAAGGACTTCCTAGTACAAGCATACGAGGTGTCATTTGGATTCGCCAGCGCTTTGATTTTTTTCTCTGACCTTGATGACTTGGTTCTTATTTGATTACGGTCGCGGTGACTTTGTTTATTCGGACTAGTTTTTTCGTTATGCTGCTCGTAACCGTTTTTGAACGAAACTATGTTTGCATCCTGGCAACATTTGTTCGCGCGCCTTCTCTTTCTCGACAACAGTTCACTTTGTCTTCACACTATCCTGGTGAAACGGTGTGCTCTACCTATCTCGTATGCATGTGCTATATTACAGGGAGTGAAAACATCTTACGGTGATCAATCTTTCGTCGTGCGTTGTTTTCGTTTTGGTCGGAGTGAATAGGTGCTTTGGATTTCTTGCATACATTTTTGGATAGAATTTTTCCGTTTGATTGATTCATTCCAGTTACCCTGGTGGTCCTGTGATAGTACTTTTTGAAGCGGCTTTGCATAGTACAAGATTTGCTAACCAACTGGCGGCTGTGCACAGATTAGGGAATCCATGTTGTGGCGTGTAAATCAAAGCAAACTATTTTTATCAGCTAAGCTGATGTCGCTAACCTTTTAGTCTCATTGTAGTTGCATGCTCTGTTCAGGTAGGAATGGTAGCCGGTTGATGATGAATCTGAGTGACTCATTCGTGAGAACCAAGCTGTGTCAGTTTGTGTGCCCCTGTGACCCACTGAGATAGACGGGTTAGTGTGCGTGTGGCACTCATAGCCTCTGAAAGCAGGTTGGTCAGTTGTCTGACTAACACAGTATACTGGTGGGCGAAATTGCCCAAGTGGTTAGAGCGCGAATTTACTGACCGGAAGGTCCGTGGTTCGAACCCGACCTCTGCCTCTCGACTTCCCCTGTCTAGGTTTGGGCGGCCTGGAAGTATCCCAGCCCTCGTGCAACCTTCGGGTGGCATGGCAGTTAGGCACCGAAAGGGTACTACAGCCGAACGACAGTATGCTAGTTCTCCATACTGAGAACTGGGACATATGTGCCGACTTGATTTTTAAGAATGCAGACTGTTCTGGCTGACCTACGCCAACTACCGCTGTCTTGCGGCTACACTTTCGAGCCATAAGTTTTTTGGTTGACGGCCCTAATTGTTTTCTTGTCCAGGCCTGGGAGCTCTAGCATTATCCCAGTCCACTTACAACCACGAATGATACAACAACAGAAACGGCCTGATACCACATCGTCCGTCGCAAATGGCATAAGCGCGGTCGACTTGCTTCATAAAGCAGGCCAGGTAAACGAAACCAGTCCAGTGCTGACATATTCTTTCCTTCTCTTTAGGCATTCGTTCTTCCCACTCTCCCCACCCTGTTGCAAGGGACACCTTCGTAGGCCTTTTCTTAAGGACTGATAGATTCATTCGCCACCCATTGCCGTTGGACGCAATATCTACACTCGCCTCTAGCATTAGAACTGGAAGTAGACATGAAATCGCTCATTTCAGGCGAAGGGTAGTAGACGGTAATAGGTGACGACGTTGAAACGATGTTGAAACGTTCGTTGCGTCTAAATGTATGTGTGTGATGTCGCAAACCAATGATCACGACTACTATGATTGGTTACCGCAGTCACAGACACGTTGTTGCTATATACTGTAATGGCTGGCTGCGTGCTCATAGTATGATCACAGTACTTCTGCACTTAACGAGTGCGTGAGGCCTCACCCCCAGCAGGTAGGCGAGCCCATTCTTTAAACTTTCACCTATTGATCCGGGAACTAACAGTGCCGGAAAAGTCAGGCGGTAATGATGACAGGTCGCACAATAGGTGGGTTCCAATTCAGTGTGGGCTATTCAGTAATTCTGCACATATGGTTGTGTTCTCTGGCGATTAGAAGGTCGGGACAAGCATCAAGCTTCGAAACGAGAATCCATTTCACCAGATGGGCAATTGTCTAGGTATTACGAAAATGGTAGTCTATAATGGGACCTGATCAGGATCGGATTCTGGCCGCTCGTTTAATCAAACCGAGATTTTATTTTGCCGATAGATTGATGAACTTACCCCCTGTTAAAGACTGATCGTTCGAACACAAATTTCCTCGAGAATACAGTATCCCATATCTCTATAAGACGCAGACAGAGATGTGTGAAAATTCCCTATTTTTTAGAGAAACAACGATGTTTGGTGGATAGGGTTGGTTTATCCGCACCCAAACCCAGGCCCCGCTTCGGCATGTCGGCGGGGTAAATTCCCTATTTTTTTGGAGAAACGGCGATGTTTGGTGGATAGGGCTGGTTTATCCGCACCCAAACCCTGGCCCCGCTTCGGCATGTCGGCGGGGTCACTTACATTGTTGCGGAATGTTATCGCGGATAAAATTGCGAAAACCCCGAGAAAGACGTCGAGTCGACATGGATGGGGACTTCCATTCAGTCATTTAGCTACTCGAATATTGTCAGTAGTTTGTTATCAATGGACTTAAGCAGTGTGAACGGAACCTGGGAGAGCGAGGGTATGGTGTGACTATGGTGGACCTTGGTGCATTTAGGCACATTCTCCCAGGTTCTTATGGACATGAAAATACCTGTTTGCATGTTGAGTTCTCAAAATGCATCACCTCAGTGTTCTTGGCTTGAATAATACCAAACCGCATCAGATTTCTCAACAGCACGAAATTTCCCGGGTGTCCATGACTTGCAAAGGGTTGAGCAAATTCTCGGGACTGGTTGACATCATCAAGCGAATAATGATTTTTTTAGAAGTAAATTGTATTTGGACGCCGTAAAATAATACGAAAATAACGTGCCAACATCACATTGGGAAATCCTGCTAGGTCATGTTGGCGAAATAGCCCGATCGAAATTCAGATTCCCATTCAGTGCTATTGAATATGCCGGAACTTAGGCACATTCAAAAAATTATGAATATTTTTGGTTTGAACATGAATGCCATCATCCTGTACTAGTTGACTTAGGAGTTTTCCTTCATCGTTCGGCTTTCAGGAAACCGTATAAGTCGTTCGTATAGGTCGTTCAACATCCGCATCCTATTGGTTGGAGTCCCCTTGTTATCGATCAATTTCGCACACACCCCAAAGGCTTTAGTCGTTCCGCGCATTGTCTGTGATGGATAGACGTCAGTTCAGCCACTCAATGTCCGCCAACGCGCTTGTATAATCTACGTGTATTTTTTGAGCGTAGCATGTAGGTCGCGGTGATTTAAACACGTAGAATGTGATTTAAGCGACCATTTTAATCGGGGCCAAAGAAGAGTATCAGGCGAACAACCCTATGACAACATATTGCATTTTTTAAAAATTTCCTAAGACATCGTATGGGGGAAATGTAAATTTACTTTCAGCTGAGAAAGAATATCGAAATAGCACAATAGGAGTTTGAGTTGTATAGTTTTGATGCTAAAAACTCAAATCAGTTCAATTCGTAAGCTATTAGCCATGTGCTGTTACAGTTCCGATCAGTGGAAAGTGGGAGAGAGTGCGACATACAGCCAAGGCTTGGAGGCGATGGCATATTTGGTTAGTTCGGGAACTGGGTAGCTACGCATTGAGGGCGATAAGTTTGATGTATGTGCGCCACTGGCTGCGCGGTTGGACAATATTTGCCAGTGCCATTAACTATTGGTGAGATGAATCTCGGGGCCCCTGTCCACGGAAGCGGTAATTGCCGACCCGGCTAAGTTTACTGGTTAGTGTTTTCATACTTCATTGCCAGGTCATACTGTCCATCTCTCGGTCGCTTCCACTCAGTACAGAAGTGAACCAAAAGTGCTCTATCAGGCAGGCGGTCTTTGGCATGCAGACTGCACCTAACCGGCGTGAGTGATCCGCCTATCGGGTGGGACGAGAGTTCCTTCTTCTTAGGACCACCTGGCGTACCTCAGCATTGCTAATGCGATGTACTATCCTGTGCTAAGGCCGTGATATCAAGGCAAGGAACTGGTTAACTAGCCTAAACGCACGATCAAGGTGTCCTATCTGACAGGTAACCTGTAGTCTAATTCACCAACGGACGGTCAGTAGTAATTGCGGCGAAACCGAATTCTACGAACTTCATCTGCGTTTGTTCAGTAATCGCAATTGGGCAATGAACAATATATTGAATTGGACGTGGGCAGACAGTATAGATAGGTAAACCGTGGTTCTATAGGAAGTTAACAGTAAATCGTGGGGAGAATCAAAGAAAGGCTTACGGCTAGATTGAACCTTGGGCAGTTAGCAACACAGGATGGCACACGAAGGGCAGTGTGCGATCGGACAAATTAAACGGGAAAATTTTTGTTCAGTTCAAAGTGGGACAAATTTTCAACGACGAACCCAGAAATGAATGCGAACAAATCTTCTATAGAAAAAATGGTTATGGTAGGGTCGATTTTGTATAAAATAGAACAGTTCAGTCTTGAAACTTGAGCAGTCACCGGAAGGGTAATGAATTAGCCTGAGGAATATGGAAACAAATAATTACGACACATAATTAACACCCAGCATACCTGACGAATCCTTTGGAGACACCGTTGGTCAAACAATGACATCTTCCGTATGTCCTCTGCGCGTAGGGGCTACGTCTTTAATCCGTAAGGAAGTATGGATCGCACCGCCGCAGTGTAAACTCTTCCCTTGACAGACACTGGCACCATAGGTGTCGGAGGTTGGCAGAAGCTATACCGGCCCTCCCGATTCGAGAAATAATCTCATCTCCAGCCAGTCTACCGGAACTCATACAGCTCCCTAGGTAAATAAATCTATCCAAAATAGTAACAGGATGAGTTGTTTTCAAGGATTTTTTGTGGCCTGCCAAAATGTGCTTCGTACCATTGAAGCACTTCAAGGTCCACGGCCAACTTCTTGGGTATAACGCTGAAATTAAGGCGGTGTATTTGTTCCAATGATACCGATCGTTTGCGCCAGTGATTTTGCCCCTAATTAGTGGTTAGACCATTTTCTATCCGGGGTTGTCAAACAAATTGTGTGTGTGTGTGTGTGTGAACTCGATTGAAGTTGGCGAAATTGAAGAGCTGAAAAAAGCTCGAAAGCCAATGGAAAGTGAGCGGATAAAGGTTTGCCTTGACAACCACACACACCGATCGGTCTACGGCTGACTGTGACCCTCGGTTATGCACAGTAGCATCAGCAACCGGACATCTACCTCGCCGCCGGGCCAGGTCAGCACCCTGCTGCTAAGCGGGTTGGAGTGTTGAGTCGTCTGCTCTGGACATGTTCCTTCAAGAAAACGCTAAAATGTGCTATCTCACCGTTCAGACTTTTGAGAAAGAGGCTGAGGGAAACGTCTCGAAAAAACCCCATATCTTCCCAGTACCTTTTGGGTCAAAACTCAAGTAAGGGTTCCTCAAGCAAACCGCTTCTCGGTCGTTGTCTTGTTCCCTGAGCTTAACAATCTGATTGCAAACGCTGTGCTAACCACTAACCTACCACTGCGCACTAATACGCCTCCAAATAACGCACTGATGATTTCACCTCGATTGGTGATGAAACGTTTGCAACCAAATTGCCCAGCTCAGTGAACAAGCCAACGACCATCTACGCTACCTGAGCTACCAGCATTTTCCACTATTGGAAATCGCTTCTTCGATCAGGAAAACCGGCAGAATCATTTGCTTTCCATTAACCAGTCCCCATGCGTCCTACAACCGAGTATTTCCGATTCGTTTGGCTTTCATTCACCTAACAGTTGCTTTATGTCTAAATTTCTGCCCTCTACCATAATCGAAATGTACTCTTGTTAAATTCGAAGGGTCTGTTCCACATTGCTACTTTCAAAGTCCAAATGCACAACAAGTAGCCCTTGTTCAGAACTTGTTTGTTTTTTTCACTCGATGTATATCGTGACTCCGAAACATGAATACAACACCTCAGTTCGCTCCTTCACCTCAAACGGCTCGGGACGAATTCCGATTTATCTTACTTTATTCTCTGGGTGTCTGGTGATCCCGATGCAACGGCTCATGGTATTGACGGCGTGGGAGTTGTGCTCAGCCCTTCCCATAAATAGTCTTTTATATGCTTTTCGGTTGGCTAGATCAGTTGAAATCAATGCATCTTGGAGCGGTGCTTATATGTCATACATTCTCAGACAGACGACAGCTCTGAGGCTGAGGAATACAGCTTCCACTGAGTTTAGTAACGGTTGCTTCCGTCAGGAAGAAGTACAACTATCGTTATCCTGGAAAGTGATCGATCGAGCTCGGACGAAGCCCATCTTGTCGGCCGTCTTTGGGTTGACGCTCATCGTACAGATAATGCTGGGCGAATTTAATTGTGTTCAAGGGTGCTGTCTTTCGTCTTTCATAGCTAACGTAATTGACGCTTTACTTTGGTCCTCTCTACCTTCCTTTGACAGCTCGTGGGTCGAAGTATTCCCTGGGATTCCCCTCCGATATTGAATAGGCTAAGGATATTGCTCTTCTTTGATCAATCACTTTAGGAAAGCAAACTATTCTAAATAAATAATAAAATGAATAACTCTAAATAACCGAAACAATTCTGCTGCATAGTTCTTTATGTGCTCCGCCCTTGTTAAATGCAAACTGGTACAGTAAGGTTCGGTGGGACCGAACCCAAACCTCGGGCTTCTAGGTGAGCGGATCGATGTGGTAGATATGTTTGCCCATACACGCAGGTGGAAGTCGCCTGTGGAAAAAATGAAATCATTTCCCGTTCGCCCAACTCCCACAAGACTTGACAGCTAGACTGTCAGGAGTAGACTGCACAATACTGCGGCCCGATCTGTCTTACTTGGTGGACCGGAGACGTGGCCGATACGTGTGGAGGCTCTCTGTGTTTGACAATCGGTATCTCTGAAGCAGCTACTGTAATCACTCTTCTTAAGTACACATGTTATGGCTAAAAAACTGAATGATAGTAGTGACTAGAAACCGAGAGACCCAACAAATTACTAACAAGAGATTGCGGCAAACGAAAATACAATTTCGGAACCGATCAAGAACCACAGCGAGACGGAAATGGCAAACGGACGAATCAAATGGAAGGAAGAAGACTACTAAAAGTGTGAGGTATCTGATTGGCTACTCAAAAGGCACGAAGATTTGCTGGAGCGCAACCCACTAGAATGGACCAATCATAAGGAACAGAACTACCGAAACGGAGCTTCCTGACATACAGACCACGACGCAGCCCAAACCCGGAAACGTTCAATCAAATCAGGCACCGGACAATTCTCATATAGAAAATCACATTGTGGATGTTAACTACTCTTTAGTAACTATATAAACACAAACTGAATTAGAGGGATCGCCCATCCGTTCACGCACTGACGATGTCTTCTCTCACATGATGACGAAAATTGTCAGGCTCGGCGAACGTATCAACTACCGCCTGATTAGGAGCCAAATGGACAGAAGGGTCAATAGTGCACAACACGCTGGATGGCTAAGTCACATAAAAAAGTTTTCCTGCCACGTAATATGAACTGTGTAACCGAGTGAGGAGTGCCTCTGTACCATGTCGAGTTAATTACACCTTGGATCAACCACTCGAGGTCGAATAGAAAGAGGTTCTTGGTGACTCCACCAATGATTTCCAGCCGTCCAATGCTTCTCTACTTTTCAGCATAAAGTGAATACACTTACACTGCGAAATCACACTTGGTGAAGCTCTTTCACTTCTTTGGCGATACTTTGGCCATGTACTTAGCAGTCAATAAAGTCTATCCTTAACCCAAGGAAGATAACATCTGTTGGCCATTGGAAACAGTGAAAAAGAATTGTTCAGCTGTAGCACCCTTTCTGTACCTAGCTGCCATGCCACCCGAAGGTTGCACGAGGGCTTGGATACTGTCAGGTCGCCCAAGCCTAGACAGGGGAAGTCTAGAGGCAGAGGTTTGGTTCGAACCACGACCTTCCGGTCAGTAAATCCGCGCTCTAACCACTTGGGCCATCCCGCCTCAGTGATAGCATTATACAAATCACCGATGAGTGTAGATGTCTTATTCAAACTCAGCTGCGCCTACTTTCCGCGAATTCTTCCCTCCCTGGTTAGAATTTCATAAATTCGGCCAGCATCTGGAAAGCCACATCCAGGGCCTTCCCCTTTTGGACGGTATTATTTCTGTATTATTTTTGAATCGATTATTGAAGAATCCACGCGTTCATTGGTGCTCAGGAACCTTGGTTCGCCATAGGAAGGAGGGAGTTGAAATCCTCCTTCCAATTTATTCACGCGCTGATACTGGAAGTTATGTTGCAGACCACGTGTAGAAATGCTCTTGAAACCACTCAGGGGGTGTTTCTTAGAATAAACAGCCGAACCATCTTCTCCATCGGTTATCCTACCATCTGTCGATTTCTTCTAACCGGCCATCCGGATTAAGAGAAAACTACTCATGGGTTGTTGCTGTCCATTTTGTTTCAAACTCCTCAGTACTCAGTGTCCGGACAAACTGCGTACGGTCTTATATATGGTTTTGGTCTTATATGGCTTATGGTCTTGTATGTATCAGGAAGGTCAGCTTCCTGAAGGCAGTCACTGAATGCCCGAAATCTACTCCGACTCTCAGCTCCGCTAGATGTTGACCGGACAGACAACGACCCCGCAATATGCAGCACGTCACAGCCTCGTACCAAAGCCAGACGGTGTGCGTCAGCACTGGACGTAGTTCAGACAGTGTCCTTCCAATAAATAGCTTGAGACCGTTGTATTTTTGCACTCGCACGCACTCACGCTCTCACACTCGCTTGTTCGGAATATAGCTGTTGTGTTCCCTTCTGTGAGTTTTTTTTCTCCGGCACTGGAGCGGGTCACCAGTAGATGCCTCAGGTTGGCGAATCAATAGATATAACCGTATAGCTTTCTTCTTGTTATTTAAAGACGTTGATCTGAAGACATTAAGTCTAGAGCACTGAGACCTAGTACCCATCAGGCCGTAAGTGGGCTATCGGACGGACGATTTTGAAAACTTTTGGCAATCAAGATCAAGTTGATGCCTCGAAATCACCAGCAGATGATTGCTACATAGCCCATCCGAGTTTCCGTTCAAAGGCTTGAAGTTCACCGTGGAAGATTTGTGCTGACCGGAAACAGTTCATGATCAGAATGTGGCTGTGACAGTCTGTGCCCCTGTTTGTGTGAAACAACAGAGAAAACAAATTGTTTTTTTCACAGGCACCACTTGATCAACCTGAAGCATCGAATTACCCACAACTGTGATAATAAGTGTACCTAGTGAGATCTCAGATAGATATATTCCTTTTCTTCAACCAATTCTGCTGCCATCATCGATCAATCTTGATTGAATCGAACAGGGAGACACCACAAAAGCAACTGTTTACTGCAATGCAGCCCAGTAAACAGTTTCCGGTTCTGACTGCATCTTATAGAACTCGAGTCGAGCATTTTATGGATCTTTTCTAGATAAGCTCCGCCACTAATGCAAAAAGAACATTTGCGAAAAGTTGAGCCCCACCACTTTTTGTGAGCTCCAAATTAGTGTACGCACACAACCTTGACCTATTTTTGATGAAAACAATTCCTTATCCACATCTGGGCTCATTTTATGCAAAAATTTTCTCCGTTCGGAGGTGAAACTTCAAATGAACTTTCTGACGCTTTCAACTCACGTTCATAACAAGGAGACGGCAATACATTTTTCGCAAAGCGACTGAGTGATCCATCAGCAACATCACCACCACCACACCAGCAGGTCACCAAATGACACTTTCGACTGTTTCTGACAGGTGAAAGTGTAATGCCCGACAGTGTCAGCAAGAAACCGGTCTTCGAAAGGGAACTTGGCTGGAGCGGTCTAGGATGGAGTTTAGGACAGTAATTCTATTCATTTATTGCTGGTCCAAAAATTCGGCAAAAAACAAATTCTGCTTAGAGGAATTATCTATTAGCCACAAGACCGCCGCTGACTGGATGAACTTTCTTCGCGAAGTTTGCGCCTGGCGGCTTTTGCAGACTCCAACAGTTGTCAGTGGCCCAGGTCTACACGTCGAGATCGATGGAACGCTAATATCTCGCCGTAAAAACCACGCAGGGGGTCAGCCTCTTCAATAAAAACTAAAAGTACAAATTTCATATCCTCTTTTCTAATCTTTTTGGGTGTCGGGGGTTAATTTTTCGGCGGGGCGTATCTGGAAAAGATCCCATTTGACACTGGCAGGGGGCGATTTGGGTTTGCGTTGGGAGGTTGGAGCAGTTACAAGGCCGAACTGTACTAGCGTGCGTGAGTTTCCCTAACAACCTATATAAGTGGCTCAAGAGGACGCAGAATTCACACATCAAATGAGCGCTTCATCTGAGGATTCGTCACCCCAAAAGCCAGTCAAAGCTTGACCACGTGATATTGATTTCTTGATTGACGAGTGTACGAGTTAATCACCCTACTAATCAGCCGTTCGTGGTTAAATGCCCACACTGCTGGACGGCAGGTCACGAGTTCGAAACTTGCTGGAGTTTCGTTACACGCACACTGCTGACGGTTTCCACTGACAGTGAAACAGCTGTTCAGTGTTCCTTGACTTTCCAGCATAGATTGGCTTCACTTACAGGAGGTAGTCCAGGTCCCCTTATACTATCAACAACAGTTTAAGCGCTCCAGAATGATGGATCTCGTCATCATTCGTCAAACCAAACGAGGAAGGCCCACAGAAGGGGTGTTTCTGAAGTGGTACCGAAGAGAACTGCATATATCATTCCATGGATTAGTTTTTCTTCTTTTTTGTATTAAAGATAACCTACTGCAAAGTTGCGATGGTTAGTAGCTTGGATTCAACCCTGACTAGCAGGTTGTTTCGTTCCACGCCCAGGGTAACTCTCTTGTTGTTCTGAGTGAGTTTTTCATGATTCCATGGGGATCACATTGTCATAAACTCAACAAGAGTTCTCCTAAACACGCCGGTTTAGACTGTACGCGTCACAAGCAGCTAACTCTGATCCTAATCCACGCGATCTGATTTACAGAACTAATAAGCTTTCGTTCAGTCACATCACTTTTGTTTGAACGGTCGTCCTCCTGTTCTCGCGCAACTATTCCGGTGAGTGCACACCAAACAGAAGCACTGGACTCGAGTTTCGCTCTTATTAGAGCTCATCAGCAGTGCATATCCAATGGCCGTGCCGGGATTCGAACCCCGGACGTCTGACATGCGAGGCGAGCGTGTAACCGCTACTCCACCAACGCACGTTGGATGCATCTGAATTATCACGTCTGAACAGGCGAACGTGTTCACACTTGAGCGATGTGATCGATCCAGTAACTATCCTGGTTGTGTCGATCGAAGCTTTCCTTGGAATTTCGTTCAATATTAGCGAATATACACTCATTTGCAACCTTATGAGTAGTACACTACAAAGATATACATGTATCGCGATATCTCGAATCTCGTAGCGACTGAAACATGAGGCGGCCTGGTGCAGCACATTCAGGTGCCTGAAAACACCACAAACGAGAGATTCAGCTGGG